CTACATTAATATACAAAATGCAATAATGGCTTAGTTAGGGGTATTTTTGGAATATGAAAAGTACAATAAATCAGATTTTATACTTAATTAGGTAACTTGCTGAGTTAGATCCTAGTCATGGGTTTTTACTTATACAAATTGGGTATTATTTATAGGAACAAAAAGTAAAGGGTTTTAGGTACGGCAAATTGAATTTGAAGAGTGTAAGTCAAATTTACTATTATTAATAATATTGTCGTGATCACTGAATACGCCTCTTTCAATTCCAATTGCAATCTCTCTCTTTTTGGGTTGAACTCGAGGGTACGTATAGTATTGTCTAGACTCTAGCTAGTTCAAACTAAACCAATAAAGGAAAAGGATGACGAATGTGAGGCAACTTCTGGGCCCTCCTTGGTTCTGTTCTGTACATGTGTGTGTGCATTTATATATATATATCATCTTCTATTCAATATGTAGTGTCATTTGTTCTGACGATCACTATTCCACATCGCGCACCGGACACATCTACATATAGTAGTTGGTACGTAGCTAGTAAGGGCAAAACAAAATAAACACAATTATTAGGTTTTTTAAAATATTTTTATAGGATAAGGGACACGGGACATCATCTCAACAATTAATAAAACAGCCAATCATATTATATAGAATGAATTTGAACAACAACCAACCAGCAATTCAAAACGCGAAAAATGTATTCCACACACGACACATGTCGCGCCACATAAATTTCCCCATCCACCAACTTCACTGTTCCAGTTATTATTAATGGAGCCATCAATCATATACGGCAATGGCAACCAGACCATTAATAATATCCAATTATTTTTTGGAGTCCCATCTCATAAAATAATAGCAAGACAAAAAAACGAGAAGGAGGACTGAATTGGGGGAGGCTAATTTGCTCAAAGTTGCCCTCTAGTCATGCCACAGCTACACCATTGCAAGTTTTTCCATCACATAAATTAAACTTCAGAGTTTGATGCTTGTTAGTTAATCTTCCAATGGGCTTGGGAGCTGCTGCGGGTGGGTGGATGATGGTGGAGGTAAGGTTGGGACTATGATAGAGGCGCTGCGGTGCATATGGGTTTGGTCGTGTGGAAGAAAGAGAGATATATTAATTAGATTTACTTATTTATTTATTTTTCCCTAAGATATGTGATCAAATGTGGAGTTATAAATGTCACATCATTGTTTAATAGAAAATTTGACAGTCAAACTAACGGAGGCATGAAAGTTGTAGTAAAATCAAAGTCCATGTAGGAGGAGACGAAAAAAACTTAGTGTATCAAAGTTTGAATTTCAAGAAACTTCCAAATAGTAAAGTGAAATTTATCCTATAATAAATACATAAATATTAATTAAATTAAAGAATTTATTAGAGTCAAATAATACTTTTTAAATTATCAGGTAAGATTGACTACGTACTGTTGGAGATGCTTTAAAGTTGAGGAATCGATTAAAAGGCGCGTGTTTGTAGTTGTGAAGCGGAAGAGACAAACTTGGGGTAAATGCAAGCAGCTGAGTGAGGCAAATCTTCTGTTGATGCGTACAGTCGATAAAAGTACAGAAGGCCCACCCATTGAATACGAAGCTGAATCCGCAGTAAGAGTACCTCTGGTTATTACTGTCACTGGTGCATTACATGCAGTATTGCCAATGTTAATGTTCAAGACCCAACCGTTCGATTCCTCCAGCTTTAATGTAAGAATTAAATGCGTTACATTTTGTCGATTAGCTAAAAAGAGTCTGTGCCATATATGGAGTTTTAAAATTTATTTGAAATCATTTTTTGTTTAGAATAAAAATATCAATAAATACTTTCTTTTCTCTTTTTTTTCTTATAAATTTATGGTCCTCTGAGTGAGTATATCCTGCTTGCCGTGTGCATGGTTTTCGTGCTGCCGGATGCATCATGCATGAATGCGCAACTGCTTAATCAGCTAAGCCCCTCTTGGCTCTTGTTGATCATGTATTCGTATTAGGAGTTGAGTTGGGACCACATGTATGTATCATGCATGTATGTGTTTTTTAAAACACTCAACAATTAATATATATATATATATTAATATTCTCGTGTGCAGACATACGAATATTATTATCTTGCGGACGTCATGTATTTTGTACTATTCCTTGCTGTTTTTCTGCCTCTTTACAATAGCATCCGTACTATAATAATGTACGGAGATCCGAATAAGATATATTATTCATTTCATTCCATGATAATAAGTATGCATACAAGTTGCAACAGTGTATTTCATATATCATAATAAACTCATCTCAATAAATATTCCACGAGAAACCCGTAGCCACTTCACTTCTGTCACCCACTAGAATATATACATATAAAACCAGTTATTGTTCGCTCGACATCCCTTTGCTTCCCAACTGAATTCAACCAAATTTTTTCTGATCCATGTGACACCTTAAATTTCAAAATTTTAAAGATACAAAAGTAGTGAGGGTGAGCACCGGTGCGAAAACATTCATATGAATTCCTCATACCATTGTTTTTAATCATTTATACATAGCAACACAGTAGTGTCATTTAATCATTCAGTGTATGGAAATCAAGGTCGACCAAAAGAAAAGAATTATGGATGGAGTTTTGTCTTTTTGTGGGTCTTGATCGTTAAAAGGAATTGAGTGTCGGTCCTGCAAGTCCCATCCTTGGTAGTAATACATCTATCTAAACCCCCAACCAACATATCTCTGGCCCTATGGTTAAAATCTCTCCACCCTAATAATTGCATAAAATTATAATGTGTGGTTGGTTGCAACCTCTTTTTTTGCAGGATTTTGATATTGATACGTTGTGGTTGTGGTTGTGGTTGTGGTACCATTTTTTAGAATCCTTCGACTCCGCATTAATTCAAATGTAAATTATTTGAAAACTGTATTTTTATAGATTATTACGTGACTTTGAGAAACAAAGCGATTCATAATATGTTATTTATTATATGCTGATTGGAGCATATGAAAATGTAATCAGTTTCAGTTGCCGACAAGGAAATCGTTTACATATCTTTGGAGAAGTGGGGGAATCAGCACACTGTAGGTCCGTTCTGTGGGATGGTAACTATCCCAAAACACATGATCACTTGCATTTGCGCACGTGGCATCGTACTTGTTGCATAACACTGCTACCTCTATGACCCCAGTTCCACAGCATCCTTTCTCCGCAACTTTAAACCCTGAAATTCATTCATTCATTACTTAATTACCCCAAAATGAGAAAATTAAGATTGATTGATGATCAAATATATATCCACGTACGCAATTATCGTAGGCTTACCATCCTTGGCAGGGTTGAGAATGATTTCCAGTAGTGGATTGTAGACATCCACGTAGACCACTCTGCTGTTTGGGAGGGCTGTGTTTAAGGAGTTGAGAGACCGAGAAAGTTTAGCGTTGAATAACTTTGCTGCTTCATTGTATTCTTCGGCGCAGTCTCTTGCTAATCCTCCACCTAATGTTCTTTGTGAAGGCACACATCCTATTGGTGGTGCACTGAACAGACCAATCCTTCTCGCGCCAAGTCCGTACAATTCCTGCCAGTTAAGTCAACCCTAAGTCTAAATATTAACTAGATTAAGATTAGATCCAACAAACAACATTATATATATGTTAGGTACCTTGACGAAACTAGACGCGGAGTCGACCATAAGGTCGGTGTAAGCAGGAATATCATACTGGGCTTTTCTTACGCGAATGGTAAAATAGGTGTTGGCAAGGTCGTCGCTGCCAGCCACCACCAGAAACAGAGCGTTGGATAGAATGAAGTTGGTTCTCTCTTCTCCAACAATGCCTTTAAGCTTCCCTATATACTCCTTGAACATTGACAACTGATCCGAGAGTGATATAACTGACTGTAATTCATCATAATTAATTGGAGAATAAATTAAAATTAATTAATATTAGGGTTGTAGTTGTTGTATTATTAGATGCGATCGTACGTACCACTATTTCGGGTGTCATTGGGTCGTATCCCGTGCCACCTGAAGCAAAGCAGACTCCCGTGGCCAGATCTTCAGGCCGTAGACTAGGATCTAAATACGCCGGCAAATACTTTTTGATTCCCAGTTCTTCCACTGCTCATAATTTTCAAAATTCAAAAACCGAGTGTTAGTGTTAATAAGCAAGTAATTTAACAAAAGAAGAAACCACGAGATATATAAATATATCTCAACTAAATAAATTCCTTATTATATTGCTACTTTCTGAATAAAACAAAATTAAACTTCATATATAAATCCGCAAACTGAATTCAGAAAAAAGCTAGCTTTATTAAACATGTGATTGTTTCAAACATGAGCAGCATGTGAATATATAAACTTGGAATATTCACACACATATATGCCAAAACTTGGAATTTTGGTTGGAACTCGCTTGGCTCTTGCTATGCTCGGTACTCTCATGGAGTGGCGGAATGAGTTACTGATCCACCGGATTTCCTACAGGATGTTTTGTTCATTGATGCTATATAATTTATTTCTAATTTTATACTTCTTCGGCACGTGTGGTATTCTTTCATATTCGGAGGTTTTCCATATAAGTTTCTTAACGAGTGCATACATAACATGCCCATTATTCCCACTTTCTAATGGAATGAAATATACCTATTGAAAAAAAAAAAAAAAAAACTTGGAATTTTGGTTGGATAATTGTGACGACAAATTAATTGCTAAATTCTTCACTCATATTCTTTAGTTTACATGTATATTATTTGTCATGCATATATATATATACTGTGAGTGTATATTGACGGGAAGAGAGAGAGGGAGAGCGAGATTTAGTAGATATATATATATATATATATATATATATATAAAACATACCTATGAAGTCAGAGGGCACTTTTCCATTGCCAAATCTGCCTGTTGGCTTGTGTCCCTGGAAATCTCTTCCATAAGGAGAGAAATTGCACTTAACAAGAGACTTAAGATGGTTGTTGTTGCCCGTGTCCATTATAGAATCACCGAACACGATGACCGCTGGAATTGTCTGGCCTGGAGGTATCTTCACGGCAGCCTCTACAGTAATTGTGGGGTAATGGAAAAGACCAAAAACTACAAGACAAACATATACTATCAACTGGGACTTAGATTGGGAGGAAGAAGAAGATGAAAACTCCATAAAGAAGAATCCCACTCCCATTATTTTCAGAGGAAGAGAACAAAACAAAGGGAAGTTGTGACAACTGTTTGGTCTCACTCACACACATACACACATACACACTCCAGGTGCTTTTATACACATATAGAATAGACAAGATGTGAAAATATTGTGCTCTTGCCTTTTTCTAGTCATTGATTGTACACACAAGAGACTTAATCCAAGCTTTTCTTCTTACCAGAAAAAAGATATCCGAGCTGTTTCAAATAAAAAAAAGTTGGTGTGACACATTTTCAACTGCAATCATTCCATTTCAATTTGGGTATATTTTACTGTATCAAGTAGTTATTTCAGTGATCAAGATGTATCTATATTGTACAAACATAATAATTTGTAATGAATACATAATTATACAGACGTTCGGACATTATTGTTGTGCGGATATCATGTACATCTTTTTACTTTTCTTCCCATTTACAGTAGCATCCACACAATAATAACGTACAAACATCCCAATAAAAGTATAACTGCATACATATATGTATGTATGCAAAATATATTTATGTGGGTACTAGGCACGAAGAAAACCTTCCTTTCTCCATGTACACAAAAGGAACAAATAGATGAAAATTATGGGAAAATTATAGAAAACCTTCCTTTCTTCATAATTAATAACGTGCTACTGTTGCACCAGCCATTGGTGGGTCTAATAAGTTTACAATCAATAATGTGGGAAAAAAAACATACTAGCAATATATATGTTCAATATTTCTCAACTAAAAGAATTGAAAACTGTCATTTATGATTCAATGATCCTGCTCATGCGTCCTTCTATCTTACGCTGGAAGAACTGGGGCTTCCTTGTGAAATGAAAGCTCGAGACATTATCTTTTAATTAGCACATGAAATGAAAACGTCAACTTTCTGGATCAAGCGGTAAACTTTCAGACCAAACACAGATTGTGATGTTTGCCTGCCCAACCCAAGTCATGATTTATATCATTTTAAATTGGTTTGTAATTAAGAAGATTGGCAGTAATTAGTAATTAAGTAGAGGTCAACGCATGGAGAGTGTATGTGCTATTTTTGTTGTTGGATGGATTATAAACAAATACAAAACGCACTCAGTTTGGTTTAACTACCAGATGATATATCTATATACAAAACAAGCCAACTGGGTGTTGCCTTCTGTTATTGAAGGAAGGGTAAGGAAAAACCTACACGCCACAACCATTTCTTCATCAAATCAAATGCAAAGCAAAATTAATCTTATTAATCTAGACCTGCCAATGCCATGAGGCATGAATCATGATGGTGGTGACATCAAGCCTAAATTTATTAAAACTTTTCACGGGTACGGAGCAATGAAAAAAGAAGAAAAAGATAAAAAGCAACAGTGAGTGTGTGTGTGTGGGCAGAGGGAGGAGGGAGGAGGGATGGTAAAAGGTACTGCTACAGCAGGAGGCTACTTTGAAGGCCACAGAGCAGACTAGTCCAGGTAACAATGCCGCTCGAAATTAATTGCAGCGATTAATTCCTCAACGGTTGGCGCGACAGAAGCAGAGTTATTCTTATTAATTAATGATTCCAGACTGTAATAATCCATCCATTATTCAAAGCAACATCTTAGATCATTCTGGCTACAGCCTCCTAATATTATTTTATAACATATGAGATTGCTCAGACTTATATTTGAAAGCGATATTGCCTCATTAAATAAGGATTATGCAATAGATTAATAACAACTTGGCTTGGCCCCCCCGACTGATAGGTGTAAATATGAAGCTGATGGCGGAAAAAATCCAAAAGCAACACAAACTTGTATGTTGTAATTGAGAGTGAGCCGTTACTTTGATGAAATGCAAGTTGTAAGGTCCTCTTCGTCATCACCACCATCTATATTAGGCCCACAAATTTGGCTACGAGCTTCTCGATTAAAGTGGATTTGTAAAGTTATAGCCAGTCAGTGGACTGATTATTATTATCAATGCCAATGCCAATGCCAATGCCAAGCCAAAAAGGCTCTTCCAGGAAAAATGCAAAGGCAAAGCAGGCTTTTGACCGGATACCAGTACATTCCTAAATCAATGAATCGCACAGATAAAAACTATAAAATATTCAAAGGTCCCCTACTTATGTCAACAATCACATTAAAAGATCCTAAATTCCTAACCATATCACATAAATTGCCAAAAAAGTAATAAGTGATTGGATGATGACATACAACCTCATCTTCGAAATGAAATTGGCATCCAACACATTTATTTCTTTCCATTTCTTAATATATCTTTATTAATAACACCGAATCGAATGACTAAGAAATAAGTTACCCCTAGGCACAAAACACGGTAAACCATTTGGAAAAAACAGCATTCTCTCGTCAATGCAAGGACAAACCAAACTTGAAGAAAAGATATGGCAAAGAAGTCAAAATAATACATTCCACCAAATTTCACAAAAAATACAACCTCACGCATGGAATAACAAATTGAAACTAACAGTGTTGATGAGCCATTTCATATACACAAGGGGCAATTTCACATCAAGTATTTGACGTAAAAGGCGTAATTATATAAACATCAATTTACATAAGGCATGACCCAGTTGATGGGGCTCTCAAATAAATACTTCATATACACGCTAAACGACAGAAAGCAACAGCCATCCGGTCAACAACAAACCAGAAAGACAATGACACAGTAAAAGCTCTTCCAAATTATTAGGAAACATACCCAAACCAATAAAATAACCAGCATCTTCAAAGGGAACAATTGAGTGCTGTCGTAAAAATCTGTTTTCAATCAATGAGCACTCACAAGAAATGGATTCTGGCAAACCCCACATTCGATGGTCTCCGAACCTGAGCTGGGAACTTGAACCTGCAACAATTCCAGTAATGGAATCAACAACTAAATGCAAAAATATGAATATGCACAGTGCACACTAAGACTCTACACATGCTAAGAAAGAGGGAGATTTAATCTTCAATTCAAACTCATTTGAACTTCTATGTAAAATAAGCTTTAAAAAAACAATACATATTTCAACCTTTAAAATATGATTACTTATAATTTGCATGAGACACCCTTGAAAATCTAAAATATTACCTGCAAATGGACCGTGCATGTAGGACAGGCAACCTCTCTCATCCGCCTTCCAGATCCATCAGACTTTGAACCTGACGAATCAACAAGCAAATGAGCAATGTCTATATGCTTCTAGCTTCTAAAGGACTATTTGAATATTACAAACTGCAGGAAACCCCACTGGTTTATTTAACTGCACACTTAGCGCGTTGGTCCACAAATAATAACATTAAAAGGAGACTCAAAACTTCTTTTTCATGGCCATATTTTCCACCATCCAATCTTCAAAAGCAAAGAAATTACCTGAGGATTCCTTGCGATTCTTTTCCATCTCCTCCTGTACAGAAAATTAAATTTTAAAAAATAAAAACGAAGTGTAAGCGCACACACAAGATATAAAAAAAATGCATGTACTGATCCAGACTTATTAGATATTCAGCTTACATATTCATAAATTAAAATTACATTCGGGCCAAACATAATTTGTCAATTAGAAAATGCAGACTGTTAGAAGCAAAAAGACGCACAGAACACTAAAATCACCTGAAGCTTCTTGGCAAGATCCTCGTGACTCTGCAATCCTGCAGGTTTACTAGATACTTCCTTAGCATTACTCAGCCTCTGAGTCACTTCAGCCTATAAATGATAATGACACTGTAAGGACTCTTCATTTCAAGATAATTATATGGTGCAGAATTTCTGGCATAAGCCAAACTTACTAAAAATAACTAAACCTTGGAACAGTAACTCGGACATAAAACCCATGGACCAAATATGAATCGATTGTAAATTTTCCATCCAAGATCCCTTTGCCAACACAAACCAAGACTCTAATAATAATGAATCGAACCAGTCACTACAAGGTAAGACATAATCTATGAAACTTCCAAATCACATGACCGCTATAACTTGTCTAAACATTCTTTATCATTTATGTTTTGTTTGACCAAATAGAAAATCGAAAAGAAAACTGTAACAAATTGTTCCAAGTTAATGATACGAGCAGTAATGAAGGCATTCCCAAAGAACAGCAAACTCATTCACGTTACTTTTTTTTCCCTATAAAAAACACATACAAAAAGAACCAAAATCTCCACTTCAACAGATCTACGAGACTAACCAAGCTGTTATGTTATTTCCTACAGGGAACAACAATGAAAATGGTGGGAAACTACTTGGTCAATCTAATTATCCAAACATAGTGGAGCAAATACCTGAACAACTGACCTATTTCCCTGAAAATAAATGAAAATTCTGATCAGAAACTAACATCCTAAGAGGCTAAATCTTCACAGGAACACAATAAAAGAAAATGGAAACCAGACCATTTTGTGTGATATACTCCATAACAACGTGTCAAATAGGATCATTGAATTATATTGAGAAGCAAAACGAAATATAAAATATTAAAATACAAATGGAATCTTAAGTCCTCTCCACACCCGCTATGGGCTTCCTACTGACATAGTTGGAATGATGTGATAAGTTTAGAGACGTACCAAGCATCGGTCACAAACTCGAACCTGCGGAGCATTCTCATCAGCAGTTAATGCAATTCTGCCATGTGTACACTTGTCACAGAAAATATCTCCACAGTTCCGGCAGTGATGCTACAATGGAGGAGAAACCGATAAGTTCATAAGACGCTAGCATGAACAACAAACTCTGAAGATGCCGTCTTAAAATTAGACATACCTTACGGATAAATGCCCCAAAATCTGTCCCACATGCTGTACATTTTGTAACTGCTTCATCAGGGACCTAAAAAAACAATAATGAAATAAGCAAGAGCAAAAATTCCAAGATCACTTTATTACTTGCTAAAAGAACTCCAACAGACATTCACCGCATTAAAAGGTGTCCATGGAGTAATATTAAGCACTACCACATTTATGTCATTCTAAAATGGCAAAAAAGCTTTCAGGAAGATAAGCTAGTATTACCCAATGATCTTTCTCCTCGTTTCCTGGTTTTATAATGTTCATCCAATCAGTTAATCCTTTCTTTCTCTCTGCAGACTGTTCATTTGGCTTTAA